TTGTTTAGTGTGTCTTGTACCGCCTATGTGTACAATGAGCCTTTCACATGTTTGTCGAAATTTGCACCGTACCTCTGTAAAACATTACAATTCGTGAATCCGCACATAGTTTGCTGACCTGTCATATCGGTATCTATCAAATTCACACGACATAGGGTTTTATAATCGGCTTGGTTTCACGTACGTGTATAAATCACTCGACGAACAAGATTGAAAGAAGCTTGCAAAAGCGACTGATTCAAATTTCGATTTCGATATAATTTAATTTTTAAGAGTTCCACATAGAAACTGACAGATGCACGGCTGTACATATGTAAGGTTATTTCAGGCATGATGTTGACCGTTTTCGTTCGTGCTCATATAATCGGCCAATGGATTCGAGGCAGTGTTTATTATAGCATTAACCTTGGGTAAATCAACAAAATGTGCGAAGACGGTTGTCTTTCGACCATTCCAAAACTCCATCAAGCCGAAGATCCACAGATAACAGTAAGGCGGGAAGGCTTGACAAAGAGATGCTTCCTTGTCAAATTTTAACTCCTAAATGGGTAGCTCCATTCATTCTTCGGGCACGCCGATCGAAGACTAGAGATTGTGACAGACAAAGGGTTATGTCTTATTGGATGGCGGATAACAACCAATATATCATAATATCACTACGGTTGGTGGCCTTCATAAAGGTAATCTATTTCTAAAATTGGCATGCGGGCGCGCTTGAAGACATTACCGCTCATATCACGATCGGCTGCTGCCTATTCTTCAGATCCTAAAGCCTGCTTCTGGTCGCAGGAATGGCAATAGTATATAAATTCACTCAGCAACTCGTTTGTAGTAGCGTTTCGAACTTTGCCGCATCTGCGGTCTGGCCAACGCAGGTCTAATTTGATTCTCAGAGCACCATGACGTATACTGATAATTTGTCAGCCCGGGACGATCAAACGGTCTCTTTCGCTAAAAGTAATTAGAGCTAGAACCGATTCAAGTATTTTCTTTGCTGTCGGAGGGCAGGCAAGAATACACACATGAACTGAAACTGTCTAGAGAATAAACAGACCACGTCAGACAGATGTATACCTGAAGATAGAGCTGTACGGCGAAAATGGAGCGTCTGTGGAGCTCCCGTTCGATGAGGGGTTTCCTATTCCTGGCTTTTCGTCGGACACTTTTCCCCAGATTCAGATCCACGAGACCGACATCCGTGGTAAGAGAGCTTACGTCTCCAGAGGGTTCAGTCCCATCGGTGGGATCGAAAGTTTTTCTTGCACACATCAGTGGTGCCGTCACGTCGTGATGATAAATGAGCGGGCGATCAGACAGGGATTTAGTGTTCAAGAGCTCAAAGGTGCCACCAAATCGATTGTGTCTGCGATTGTAATGTAGGTGAGAGGGATGCAAGAACAGGCTATTAAAAAGCAGTTTCTAGAACGTTTTAAGGAAAGGGTGTAGGGCTTATGCCCAATGTCTTATAGTGTCAGAGGAAACATGACTGCGAGCACGGAAAAAGCAAGAGTTTATTCATCATTCAAAACACGCCAACTTACTAGGTTAGGTCATAGTGGAATGATTCGGTCTCCGTTAATCTAACCCCGTAGTGATGGAAAGTTTGGAAATAGCATATGTTTAAATAAATAAATTGTATATTTAAGGTCCAAGGGGCCCTTTCATTATGACCGGTGACGGACAGTGATTTCTATCTGTAGACATTGTGAACCGGGATAACACAAGCATGCAGCCACAAACTGAGGTAGTAAGCCCATAGTAAATTGGGTGTTCGAGATTCGCTCGTGCAAAAGCGCAGAAACAATCAATGAACAAAGATACAGGTTTAGAACGCATAACGCAGAATAAAAATCAGAAGGCGGGTGAGGTCACTTAACGGCAAGACAAATTCCCCAGAACTATCAACAGCCATAAACAATCGACGGTATCGCCTCCCACAAACGACTAATCCTGGGAGACAGTGGGATTCTGTCGAGGCCAAAGAAACTTGGAGTTAACGGCGTCAGTATGGTATATGACAAAATTAGCAAAGAAGCTACGGTCTGGTCTCTCGGTCTCCCAAAAATATACAAGTCTCACATACTCTGCGGTAAGCTGTCTCTTATTCACGGCATGCACATGTACGATCTGGAAAATTGGTTCTAGAAACAAAAATGACTCTTTCGTATGCCGACAGCGTTACCGGGGCGCGGAAGGTTGAGGTCTGGCACACC